GTCGCGGGGGGATTATGGCCGCACCAGCCAGTCCGAGTACCCCATCTCCCCTCCCTCCTCTCCCTCCCTCCTCTTGTCCCCCGCGGGGAGCGGGGACTGGAAGGGGATGGGGAGGGGGGGGGAGGAGGAGGAGGAGGAGGAGGAGGAGGAGGAGGAGGAGGAGGAGGAGGAGGAGGAGGAGGAGGAGGACGAGGAGGAGAAGGAGGAGGAGGAGGAGGAGGCGGAGGACATGGTGGAGGAGGAGGAGGAGGACCAGCGGCTCGCATGCGCAGCGAGGGACATTTACCCGAACATGCTTCCGCAAGTCAGAGTTGATCCAGATAGATCATGACTGCACTGAACGTGGTCCGCCACATCTCTCAGGCCAGCATCGGCCGTCTCTTGGGTGAGGCGCAGACCGATCTGAACGGCCAGGGCAAGTGGTGTGCCAAACCCAGGCGTTCGAGAGAACCCGGTCTCTATCACGTGGCGGCGTCGAGTAGTGGAGAGGAGGGCGGTAGTCAAAACATCGGTCTTGGCTACGGCGACGAGTTTGAGGGCACCAACAAGGTGACCAGTGTGCCCAAGCTCGGCGCCAACAGTGATGATGAGGAGGAGGATGAGGTCACGGTACTTTGCGAACAGCGGGCACAGAACATACACCCGATGTCATATTGGAGCGGCTACACAATCTCAAAGCCATGGTGATGGAGATTAGGACGGATGTGCTGTCGGTCGGGTGTATGGTCAAGCAGCCCGTCTGGCAGCCAGTGCAAGTGGGTTGTGCAGGAGTTCAGTCAAGAGGCTCCAGAGGCGCTGGTACCGAAACATCAAATTGCTGATTTTTCCGAACCCAACATAGACGCATGTTGGCGTACGTACTTCATTTAGGAACCAAGCAGTTTTTGCGGTCACGCTCATCGTGAAGGAGAAGGCAACGACACTTGCATACCTTCCCTGAGCGGGGTAAAACAAAACAGTCGTATATTGCCCAAACAGTGGTTGCACTTAGGGGTTCTTACTTCTTTTGCCCCCGTCGCCGCCTCGTCGCCGCCTGTCGTCTGGGCCTGTCTGGCGGTCTGTCGGCTATGTTGCGGCCGTCGCCGCCCCGTCGCCGCCTCGTCGCCGCCCGTCGTCTGGGTCTCTCTGGCGGTGTGGCGGCTATGTTGCCGCCGTCTCCGCTCCGTCACCGCCGCATAGGTTGCTCCAAATATAATGCCCAACGTAGATAGCACCACATAGGTTGCACAACATAGATTGCACCGCATCGATTGCACAATATAGTTTGCACAACATTGGTCGCACAACATACAATGTCTCACCACGGATATTCCACAGCATAGAGTGCACAACATATCTCGCCCCACATTGATTCTCCTTTCTTAAAATGTATTCGGTTCCACCCTCCCTCCCCGAGACCGGGAGTATCCCCCACTAGAGATGAGCAGTGTATGTATGATTGTGCCCCATCGCTCATTCCATACATGAGTTCATCGCATTCCAGCCAAAACATTTGCAACACACACCATGCGCTCACACTCGTTTATCAAACATGATCCGTGTTCGGGAATCCCTTGCAAGAGAAACGAGACGAATATGCAGATTTCGTTCACAAAACCCGAGGTGTCGTACGGAATTCAAATTCGAGCGTCCCGAAACATGTCAAACAACCATGGGTTTGCAACATCACTTTTCAGAAGGAGTCTGCGCGTGCATTCTTGCGAATTCATCAGGGAACCATCGTTGTTTCGATCTGTCCACCAAGTGCCACCAAATGGGCCTCTCGCGCGTTCGTGTCGAAATCATTCGAACGCCCTGAAGCGCGTGCTGGGGGGCGCACGATCCCTGTCAACGAATACTATGCGGGTCACTCGCGCCCGTCGGCCGCGCGCGCATGTCGAAGTACATCCAAAACCTTAATCACCGACGCGTTGACACCATCATCGTTATCGGCGTGACCAGCATCGGCGACGTCATTCGCCTTGCCGTCGTCACCGCCACCGTCGTCACTAGCATCGCTGCAGTGATCATCGTGTCTGCCGTCGTCGGCGCCACTATGATACCGCGCCCGCCCGAGTTCCCGATTCGCACGGAAGTGCCCGCGCGTCAGCGCGGCTTGTGAGACGCGCTGGGAAGTCCCAGGCAATCAGCGACACCGCGGCCGCGGCGCCAGACTAGCTGGCCGCTCTGCGCGCGAGCCTGCGCGCGCCTGCGCGGCCTCAGCGATGCGCCAGCCAGCGCCAGGCAGGCACCACAAGTGCCGCCGAATGGGTTTTGCAAACCACGTTGCGGGTAGGTGGGTGGGATGGTTGCGCGAGCAGGGGCGTTGACAAGTGATTGCGAGCAGAGACTACTTGCACCACGTACATTGCCCCGCGTATGATGCACCACATCTGTTGCGCCATACGAGTGTCAGAGCATCGATTGCACCGCGCTGGTTGCATCACATATGTTGCACACTACAGATTGCAACACATGTGCTGTACCACATACATCGATATAGTACAATCTTACGTGGCACACCATAGACTGCGCCACATCGGCTGCACAACATGTACTGCCCAACGTCGGTTGCACTACATCGGTCGCACCATTTGTTGTTTCGGACTTGTCACACGCCAAAGGCCGAATGCCCTTCGACGGACAGTCCTAGCAGAGGGTCAGACCAGCATCATTGTGGATGCCAGACTTACAGCTGGAGTGCACGCAAAGCTTCATCTATCACGCGAAGCGTCAAGTTATTTCCGACAGTACTAATACATATATTGAAACCCAATCACGCCACGCGTGCGTAACAAAAGGTCAAGACGACAGGCATCTATGCGGCATTGGGGTCTGCATCGGCTTGGCAGCCCGCCTCGGCTCGGCTTTACGCAGGGACTCGATGCGCCTGGAGATCGCGAGCCAGCCTCCATGCCTCCCGACCTCCGGATACGCCGCCCTTTAACCAGGCCCACAGCGCCTCTACGCACTCGTTACCCTGATCGGTGTCCAGCCGCATGGCGCCTCCGTGCAGCTCTGGCATGGCTGACCGCATGAGCCTGCCAGAGGCGTCGCGCACGACGCCTGCCACAAGCACATCATCGATTGCCATCCAGTCGGATTTCCGCCGCTTCGGGACGAGCAGGCCGTCCAACACACACGCACACACACACACACGCACAACACACCCACACACGCGCACACACACGCACACACGTACACGCACACGCACACACACCACACACACACACACACACACACGCACGCACGCACGCACGCACGCACACACACACACACACACACACACACACACACACACACACACACACACACGCACACACACACGCACGCACGCATACGCAGCACGCACGCACGCCGCACGCACGCACGCACGCACATCCGCACACACACACACAAACACAAGCGCGCGCGCACGCAGCACACACACACACACACACACACACACACACACACACACACACACACACACACACACACACACACACACACACAACACAACACACACAAAACACAACACAAAACAAACACACGCACACACACACACACACACACACACACGCGCGCACACACGCACACGCACGCGCACGCGCCCCCCCCCCCCCCTCCCCCCCTCACACACACATTCACACACACACACATCACACATCACACATCACACATCACACATCACACATCACACATCACGCACACATCACACACACACACGCACACATCACACATCACACACACACACGCTCACACACACACACTCACACACAGGCACACGCACACGCATACGCACACGCACACACAAACACACACACACACACACACGCGCTTTTAAGTCGGCGGCGGCGCAGAGGACCCTCAGGCGCGGACGGCAGAAGGAAGTGCCAATTGCGAACGAACTCGGTCGACTGCGTCGTGATGAGAGGGTCAGCCACGGCCGTGCAGACAGGTGCAAGTGGTGAAACAAACACGAGGCATTGTAATGCCAATGTGCAGCGGCCAAGCATCCAGCGAACACATACGCAGAAACACACGCATACACGCGCACACAATCACAAACACACACACACTCTCTCTCTCTCACACACACCCACTCTCTCACACACACACGCACACACACTCACACATACACACACAAAGGATCTGGATTCTGAGCGGGGTTCCAGCCGTCGAGGCCGCCAGCGTCGCCGCCGTCCTCGTCCAGTAAGGCGCCACCGTCTGCAGCCGACCCCCCGTTCTGCGCACTCTAACTGCGCTCCATCTCTCCTGCTGGCGACGGTCCCCATCCACCCCCTGCCGAGGACGGCGTCTCGGGCAGGGTGGTATCGGCCTCCACACGCCGCACCACATCCAGCGCACTCTCATTGCGAGCGTCTCGCGCAGGGTGGTATCGGCTTTCACGCGCCGCTCCACGTCCAGCACACTCTCATTGCGCTCCAGCTCTCCTGCTGGCGTCGGCCCCCACCCACCCCCTACCGAGGACAGCGTCTCGGGTGGGGCGGGCTCGGGGAAGCTCTGACCTGGAGCAGCCAGCGAGACACGTCGCCGACGCCTCGGCGCAGAAGGCGCCTCTCGACGGCAGGACGCCGCGTGGAACCGTCAGCTCATGTGGGCAGGCCCGGGCCTCCAGCCCCGATCTTCGAGGAACGGCCGATGGGGGGCGGGCTCGGCCTGCAGACGCCGCTCGGCCGCCTCGGCAGCCGTCACCACTGCCAGCGCACACTCCGGGTGCTCCAGCCTGCCCCGATGGGCCCGCCATCCGCACCGGATGGCCTCGGCCGCGCGCGCGCGCCGCTCGGCATCGAGCTGCTGCTGCCGCTGCCGCCAGGCGGCCGCTGTGATGTCGGCCGTCTTCTCGGCCAGGTCCCACCCGCTGGCCTTGCAGGGCGCCTGGAGCCACGGGCCGCTGCCCCCTGGCGGAGCGCCTCCCCGTCCTCCCACGGCCTGCTCCCGCGCGCTCCGCCCGTGCCCGTGCCACAGCCCCGCCGAGCACCGCGTCCTCGTCGTCGACGCTCACGCCGACGGTGCGC